AAACAAATAAAAGATCTTGCTTGTTTTCTGGGTGCGTTTGGTCTCTTTGGTAATGGCGATGGCTGAAAAACCCAGCACGTTTTGTGGTAAAAGGGAAATTAAGTTTCTCGTTTATCGTAAATCAAAATGAACGACGACGAGAAACACGTCATCAAACAAGAAGAACAACAAAATAAATAACAGAAATTCAAAACAGAAAAGAAATTGAAACAGAAAAATATAAAAGAAAAAATATAAGCGTAAATTAAACACGTGTATGACAAAAGCCAGATGTATTCCATTTTGAAAGCTATGTACTAAAAGTCCTCATAAAAGATAACGAAAAACAATGGGATTTGACCGGATCCTCCTTGAATCTCTTCCGATACCGCCATTTTAAAAAGGAATCTAAAATCTATTTCTTCATATAATTCACTTTATTTTTCTCACTCCCGTCGTTATACCATCGACTTTTCTCCCTTTTTATATTAGGCTCTCATTACATTTTTCTCCTTTCCTTTCTCTCTTCCCATTTCTGTTTGTATCTCTACATTTTCTTCTCTCGTCTCTCAAGTTTATTGTATTTCACTTTCTCCTCATTTTCAAATCATTCTTTTTCTTCTCTACTCTCTTTCTCTCTTCTCATTTATTTCCTAATTTCTTTCTCTCTACTTTTTCTCTGATTCAGTGACATACTATCCTTTTCGTTGATTCACGTTTCTTGCCTTCTTCCTTCCTTCGTTCTTTTCTTTTTATTCATTCAGTTATCGTCTATATCATTGCTTCCGAACCTTATTTTAGCTCATCGCCCAATTTGAAACCAGAATGTTTTTGTGACTCATGAAATTATTATAATGTAAAAAAATTACTTACATTTTGCGTAGAATATGTCCAATAAAGATACAACAAAGTTTGTTTATTGGACACACACAATTTCGCTACCTTCTAAAATATTTCTCATCTCCAACGAAACGATCATTTATTATCAATAATTATTATTAAATTTTTTCCCATATATGTCACAAAAATAAAAACTTTTCAACAATTTCTGGAGTACATGTTTGAATTGGTATTTTCAATGCTTGACAAATTAAAAATTATTCAAGCACAAAGTAATTAGTAAATTGTCATGATCTAAATATATTAAAATTATTTACACATATTTAATTACATTTATTTAAAGATACGTAGTCAAGAATAGCTCTAAGGACCATTCAATAAGCTGTGGTCCATATATTAGCCCGGTAGTCCAGTAAAAAAATATGCAATTTTTGTGGCCCATCTGAACCCATTTTGTCCATGTGGCCATAGATTGCTTTGTTTTTTTTTTTTTTTTTTTTTTTTTTTTTTACGGCATATCAACCTTATTTAATACCGACAACATTTGTATTGCCAGTAATATTTTTTTTCAAAAATGTATTGTTGCTAAAGATTTTTTGTCAAAAATGAATTGCTGGTAGTATTTTTTCATTCAAACATTCATTGCTGGTAATATTTTTACAAAAATCTATTGCTGGCATTAAAACCTATTTTTACACTTTCATGCAGTTTTGACACCAGGTTGGGGGTCAACTATTTGCCCATAGCTGGGACCTGATAGGTGCTACAACTCCGAATCAGGGTGGACCTGGGAACGACTGCAATTAAGAGATGATTTTACGCTCCTCAAAACTTCCTCATCAGAGGCCTTGCTGCCGGATGTAGTTTATCGTCATACAAATTACTTTAATAGGAAATGTTCATAAAATAAATTTCAGTCAAAAGTAGCATTGGCTGTTCGGTCAATGAATGCCGAATATTTCCTTATAAGGAAAAGGCTAGTATTATCATCGTCTAAATTCGCTTCTTTGTCTTCGTTTTCTTCTGACATCGATTCTTTTTCTTTTTTATAAGGTTATAAAAAAACTTGTTTATTCTACTCTTTTCACTCTCCGGATTTTTTTTAATTTCAGCATGCAGGGAGTTGTGGAGAGCCATAATCGCCTACGCCCTGAGTGGACACGGCACATAAAAAAGATCAAAAAACACCATCGCTTTTTTTTTACCATTCTTCTCCCTCTCTCTCTCTCTCTCGCTCTCTCTCTCTCTCGCTCTTTCTGTATCTTTTTTGCTCTCACGCTTTCATTAAATATTGAAAAGAATTTGAAATTTACATATGATTTTTGTACTGTAAAAATCCACCTAGATAGGAATAATGGTAGACTTCAGGTGGACAGAATCTGTTGACTGTTAGGAAATCATCTATTTTATTGGGTTAGAACACGAACCTCTAACACAGGAAGTAAATTCTTAACTAATTTAACCACTAAGCAAATCATGAAAGTAAATCAATGAACTTAATCTGGCAGTGTGACAAAAATGTAGAACTTCTAGCAAATATTGAACTTATGTAAGCAATGATGATTTCATTAACGCAGAATTATTTGTCTTTTATCAAATGAGCTGTATTCATAAATATGATTTTTTAAAAGATTTTTACTAAAAGCTTGCTCTAAATTATATAATCACTTGACTTGGCACAATATACAGGAAGCTTGTTTTGCAATTAATTTCCCTTTTCATTATGTGATTTATAAGTGACTTTTTCACAGGTGAGCATTGCATAAAGGTTATTGCGTTCGAATTGGAAATCAGAGAGCCAATTTCAAAATGCGACTGAAAACACAATCACGCAAATATTCTGGAAAGGTGTGGATTTATCTCTAGTTCTCTCTAGCTATTAGTTAGCCTTGTTAAGTAACCACTGTAGTAAAAAAAAAAAAACATTGGATTCGAAGGCGTTTGAAAAATCCATACATGAAGTGCCTACTACTATTACTACTACTACTACTATTATTATTATTATTTTATATTAATAATAATAATAATAATATACTAACGTTACTGTCACCCCTATTTTTATGTGCTCATTTTTATTATCATTGTTGTTGCTGTTGTTACTATTATTATTAGTTTTTTTTATTATTATTAATAATATTCGTATTTCCTAATATACTTTTTATATTTTGCATTTACACTTTTATTTACTCACTATGACAGAACTGAAAACCTATTTCAGCTATGAACTTCCCGGGCCCAAACCTAAGGTAGTCGTCATCTGAGAGGCTTAACCGTATAACGTCCGTTGGATTTGAAATTTAGCCCAGTTCTAAAAACTTTTGTGATTTCCCTCCAAAATGTATTGTGCGTGTGTGCGTGCATGTTGCTCGTTAATGACTGAGTAATATTATCCCTCTGTTCAAGTTGCCTTACGAACGTAAGCTTTTTGTTAAGTTTTGACTATTGACCATGAAGCCTGCATGAACCAAGACCCGAATTTTGAATTATTACATAGATCCTCAGTTCATGAACTCTCGATTTCTGTGGTTATTCTAGATCGATCAAAGGGAGTTCAATTTGCTCAGTTTAAAAATATTTGAACTGTTGTGGATACAGTTATCGTAATTTTCTGTAACGAGAGTACAATGATAATGTTTTCTTGTAAATTCACTGCTTTCTTTTAATACTTAATTTTGTATTATTTGCAACGTATTTGTAATGAAAATCTTTTGAGATGCCGAGATTAAATATTTAAATTTTTTTAAATCAATTATTTCATTGCAACGTTTTATTTTTTTTAATTTTATTTTTGTGTGTGTAGTGGGGGTGACCTAATTTTCGGTCGACGGAAATGAGTACAGACGAGAAAGGAACAAGTTTTCCATGAGGTGGGTCTTATTTTATTATGGCCGACAGCTGAATCACTTGATTTACGAAGCGTAATTCTGCTTGGTTCTCGACTGTAGTTATCTTCACCATCTTCACTTTCCATTCTGTTCCACGTTGTTGATTATAGAGTATTAGGCGAAGTAAGGAGACTCGATCATAATTTGAGACAATATTAAATCCCAATTGGAAAAAGGTTATTCAATTCAACCTATCACAATCTGACGAAAGAACTCAATATCAATGTCATGGGAGAAATAATCACAAATGCTGGTAAACCAATATTTTTGTCAGTTTTTTTGTCGTGAGGTATTTTTATGTTTGTTTGGTTTGGTACATCGCCACAATAGTTAGACTGCTAATAAGTATACATGTAAAGTCATCAGACAGCAGACAACTGTAATATTTGGTTATATTATAACGACAGTGCTGATAATAGATCCTTTTTCTTTTTAATATCCAAATTTTCAACTACCATGGAATTCTCAGCATCGTTGTGCATAACCACATCTCTGCTGTCAGATTTCTCTTTTTCCTGTGTGAGGAAATTGTCTATCATTCACTTTTATAGAGGAGGATATATATTACATAACATTTCAGCACTATCATATTTGTTTCTTTCGAAAAGAAAACAACAAGTGCAAATAATTGGCTAAATATAGAATGAGTAATAAAAATGAATTTTCACAGAAGGTTGAATGGCTGAATAGAAATAGAGAAAGACTGTTTGGAAGATGGTAAAATGTAAAATGAAGGAATCGTAGAATGAAAGTGACAAGAAATATTTTTAATTAAAAAATGAAAAAAATTAAAAGTGTGAAAAGAAAAAAGATAATAACAGGAATAATGAAAATAAGATGGAGTTGGAAAAAAAAGATGGACACTGCGAAAATAATAAAATGTCGAATGTAAAAGGCTTGAATATAAATTTGAAATTAGAAAAAAAATAAAAATATGGGACAAATGAGAACGAGCGAAAGACAAATTCGGAATGAAGAAATGAAGTAAAGAAAGAACGAAAAACTAATTAAAAGGAGAAACAAAGAAGCAAAGGAAATATAGTAAATAAAGAAAAAAAATAGAAGCGAAATTAAGTCCGTAAGCGAAAGAACAGAAGAAAGAAAGAATAAAAGAAAGCGAGAAAAAAACTATATGGATGGAAGAAGGAAGAACGGATGAATCCAAATAAAGAACCACAATAAGGAAATAAATAAGAAAATGAATTAAAGAAACAAAGAAAGAAACGTTGTAAAGAAGAAAGAAACGAAATAAACAATATCGAAATAAAAAGAAAAAAGAGAAGAAACAAAAGAAGTTTAATAAAAAAAGAAAATGGAAGATTGAAGAAAGATAAAAGATAGAAAGAAAGAAAGAAAAAGAATGAAACGAAAAAGAAAACGAATTAAATAAAGAAATTTAAGAAAAAAAATATCAAAACCTAGAGTGAAGAAGGAAGGAAGAAAATATAATTAAAATAAATAACTAAAATAAAGAACGAAATTAAAACGAATTAAATACAAAAAATAAAAATAAAAACCGTTTATTAAGAAACAAAAAATGAAATAAATAAACTACAGAGCGAAGAAAGAAAGAGATGAAGGAAGGAAGGAAGGAAGCAAGAATGAAAGAAATAAAAAAATGAAGGAAAATCATAAAGAAAAACTAAGGCATACTCTCACATGACACGGTAGTTATCAACCTAATCTCGTGTATTTTGGTCGAGTAATGAACTCGAAACTCACTGAGTGCCCAATTGTGTGTACTTGAGTCAGACTAGACTAAACTTCTTAAATATTGATCATTAAAAAAAATAAATAAAAAATTAAAAAATAATTGACAGAACATGAGAAAAAGTAAGAAAAGATAGAGAAAGATAAGTAATTCAATCAGGGGTGGAGGAATTAAGGAAAAAAAAAGAGAATGAATACGAAAGTAAAATAGGAATTAAAATTTGGGGGAAATTCACCGAAATAATAAAAGAAAAAGAAACGATGAAAATCAAGAAGATGCTAAGGCGGAGAAAATGAAAAAAATAAATCAAGAATGAAAAATGGAAAGAAAATTTAACAAAATGCCATAAAAAAGAAGATATAGTCATAGAAAAAGGGGAAGAATAGAAAGAAAGAAAGAAAGAAAGAAAGAAAGAAAGAAGAGAAATGGTAGGTAAAGAATGGTCATAAAGAAAACACTATATCTGAATAAGAAATGAAGAAAATATGGAAGAAAAAGACGATATAAAAAAAAAATTGGAAAATAAATTCAAATCTAGAAAGAAACGCTTAATACAACCATAAAAAAGAAAGAGATAAAACGTGGAAAAGAAAAGAAAGGAAGACGATAAAGTTAATCAGTAATCAATGAATATTTAAATAAAGAAAGAACTTCAAGAAAGAAAGTAAACGAATAATGTAAAAAAAAAGTAGTGATAAATTTATCAAGGAAAGATAAAAAATTGGATGTCAAGAGAAAAAAATGTAAAACAGAGATAAAAAGGAAAAAATAATAAGAAAGAAAGAAAGAAAGAAAAAAGAAAGAAAGAAAAAGAATAAATAAAAAAAGTAAGAGAAAGAAAATGAAAGAAAAATAAAATGAAATATCGAACAACCACGCGTGTTGAAAAAGGAATAACAAAAATAACACGGCCACCAGCCCAAATGTAAAAAATAGAAGAAACCTTACCATCAGTAATATCAAAACTAAACATAAAATGAAAAAGAAGAAAAAAAAACACACAAAAAGTCAAGTGAATTATTGGGAAGTTTAGCTCGCTGCTGCTCGCAACCATTAATCACCGAATCTATGGCCACAACTCGTGCACGTCCACCATCACCGCCACGATCGTATCCGACATCACCACCAGTACCAGCAGGAAAAACAGACACGAACGAAACAAGCAACCAACTTGCCATCGACAGCAACGCCACCAAGAGGATGCTGTTGGCATCAGTTCTTACATTTGACATTTCAGCTATGGCAGCCACTAAAAAGAACGATAATTCCTCGAAAGCCAAACTATTTTCTCTTTTCTATGCATGCTTTACTCAATACTCTTTTGCGTATAGGGTACCAAACGAGTTCTTCAAGAAAATGGGAGACAGAAAATATCTATGTTTCTTTTTTTGCGTATGATATGTATATATATATATATATATATATATATATATATATATATATATATATATATATATATATATATTTGGACAGAAATCTTTCTTTCAAACATATTTCATTATATAGGGAAGACAAGGAAGATTTAATTAATTTTTTATTACGTTTTTTTCAGCATATTTACGTTTTTTTTCCGTTTTATGGGAATACCAGAATTCTCCTATTCCAAACAACACAAAAAGGTATTTCAACTTAAATAGTTAAAACATGAGGATGAACTAACACAAGAAACGAAACACCCATGGAAATTGTTAAAGAAGTGGCTTAAAACTCTTGGGACAAATCAAAATTAAGGAAGAGTTCTGTATTCACTTACACTTACAAAACGGAAAAACGTAAGGATCCTGGAAAACCTAAATAAACAATTCTTAAAATCTTCCTGGTTTGCCCTATTTAATAATCTATATCTATAATGTGTGTGTGTGTAAATATGTCGTACTACACTAAGAGCTATTTTGTGCATATCCTGCTATTATGTTTTTAGTGCCAGTTACACTTGCCGGTGTACATTCGAAGAAAATGTGCTACCTCGGAAGAATTTATACATTGTACGTATAAACACACTTTTCTCCGAAGGTTTCAAAGATTCGAAACTTTATGAATAGCACGTTTCCTTTATTAAGTCTGTTGAATGCGCATGGTGGGAAACGTAATTCAGACATTATTAAAATAACACAACAAAAAAATCAACGATAGCGTTTAAGCATATATGGGTAACGATAAAATATCATTTAGAGTAGTACGAACTAATGTCGGATAGAAAAAAACATTGAATCCTTTAAAATTAGTACATTAATTCATATATATATATATATATATATATATATATATATATATATATATATATATATATATATATAATTTCTTCATATAGACAAAACGATTTACACACTACAAAAATTTACTTCGTTTTAGTGCATTTAAATTGCACTTCGACTGTTGAAAACCAATTCTGTTTGTAAGCAAGCCACATGTGAAACGTCACTTCCTTTTTTCCCATTTGTTTGAAAAATACATAAAGGCAAAAAGGTGACAGAGTGAAACAATAGTGGCTGTTGATAGCAGTTAATGAAAGATGGTTGTGGTGTTAAAGTAATGGCTGGACATGAAAAATTTATTATCAACAACAATGATTGTCTTCTAAAAGTGAGGGGTGTGGGAGGAAAGATGAGAATAGTAGATATTAATACGATGAAAGAGGAAGGAGGGATAAATTCATAATAGTTATAGTAGTAATTGGGAATGTTTTGGGGGTAATTTTTAAAAAGAAAAACTATTTAGGTTGGAGATATCACTACTAGTTTTGTAATCAATGAAAGTGCTTTTAAATCAATAAATTCGGATACATTACATTTGGATATACATATATGTATATATAATAGTATTAGAGATTAGACAAATGTTTTTGTGACACGTTTCATCCGAATATGTGTGTGTTATTACATATGCAGAAACATATCTATCTATCTATCTATCTATCTATCTATCTATCTATATATATATATATATATATATATATATATATATATATATAATATTGAGTTCATTATATTCACTTACGTGCTAATACTCTTGGGAAAGGTATTAATCCTTCTCTTCTCCCACAAGCTATGGGTAAATACCAGGACAGTCTGGGTTCTATAGCCTTGGGTAGCAACTGGTCTAGGAGAAAACAACTCTGAATTTCAAACCTGCAGAAGGTCGCTTAGTGCACCAGGTCTCTGCATTCGACTCTTCAAAAAGTGTGGTTGATTCGACACAAAACCTTCACCACTATAATCAATATCTGGTGTCTGAGCTGTCGTTTTCTCGAAACTGATCTGCTTGACTCTCGAATACGACGGAGAGTCCACACACACACACACACACACACACATATATATATATATATATATATATATATATATATATATATATATATATGCATATATGCATATATATATATATGCACATATGTATATGCACACATGATTATTTTATATATATATATATATATATATATATATATATATATATATATATATATATATATATATATATATATATATATATATCAAATTATTATTAGATTATTTTATATATATCAAATTATTATTAGATTATATATATATATATATATATATATATATATATATATATATATATATATATATATATATATATATATATATAATAATCTGAGCTATGTTTGCATATATAGATACCCTCGAAACACACATACATAAAAATATACTTGAGAGAGTTTAATTACATTCTTGCCGCTTATTTTTAGAAGGTTGGCATTCATGATAAGATATGTGGGTTTTCAGACATTTTTTCAAAATGAACGAAAATAAAAATGTCCATGTGGCGTAAATTTCAGTGAATTTTCCGTCCATCTGTGTTTCTGTGTGTGTTCCTTCCTGTTGGCAGGCCATGCCAACTTTTGCGTATGAATTCTATAACGTTTACATGTGTTAGCAAAATATGTCGGCGTATTGGTGCGCGAATTGCAAATTCACCAGTAAACTAAATAATAGTTGTTTATTCTCTCTATTACACATACACACACAGACACATACATACACACAGACAAAAGTAAAGATATTGTCCATTGTTCTCTGTGGGAGATATATCGTGTGTAGTCATCGAGAATGTGAAGATAGGAATCAACCTGTATGCAGACTGTCAGTTTCACTTTAGAGAGTACTGCAGATCCGATATCTACAAACTCTCTAATTTCTTTTTTCTGTCTGTCTGTGTGTCTCTCACCTCCTCCTCCTCTCTTCTTTTCCCCCCCATCTCTCTCTCGCTATATATATATATATATATATATATATATATATATATATATATATATATATTAGATTGTACTTTTTATAGCTTGCAACAATGTTCGATAAAATAATTTCTGTCTGAAATTCTGGGATGTCGAATTATCATTATTTATACTATCTATATTCGGACTGTTCCCCTCTATTTGCTTTGGGTATTACAACGTTTCGGCTGTTGTGCCTTCCGCCTTCATCAGGTATATATCGATCTGCGTAATCTTATTTTTCTCCTGCTCAGTTATCGCTCGCCAGTTTCCTTCCGTTCCAAGGCCCGGAACAACTTACAATTACTGGCACCACATTCACGAACCGATGTTTTGTTCCACAGGCCTATTTCGCTGCTAATCTTAAGTGTTTGTTTTAATACTCCCATGTATTATTGTGCTAATTTTCCTGTGGTCTTTGTTTCAATCAGTTTCTAGTTTTAACAAAAGATGAGGCTACAACCGTTTACCTAATATTTATGTTAGCATTGCAAACATTCTGTATTTCTTATCATAGATTTCATTACGAAATCAATCGTATCTAGAATACGAATAGAAATATTGTTGAAAGCAGATGATGAAAAATATTTGCAAAGTCATAACATTCAATATCTATCTCTATCTATGAGATGAGGCATTATGATACATGGCCTAGTAGATAAAGATATTGGTTAGATCCAGTGACTAGACCCGAAGAGTCGTGAGTTCAATACCAAGCCACAGCAGTAGTGAACATAAAACTTGGAGAGTTGAGTTGAGATAAATGACTGAGACATCTGTAAGAGGCGTGACACGTGGAATTAGAACAATTTAACCCAGTGGACGAAATAAAGTGTTTGGTTCAAAATTCCAATCACCTGGAGAAGGCCGGATCGTACAACGTCCGAAACGTTGTGAATATGGCAATAAAAATGAGGATAACTGTCCAAATTATGTAAATAATGCAAGTAATCATAACATTCATTGGTCTTTATACTCTTTATTGTAAGTAAAGTAAATTTAACGAAGACAAAAGAATCACTAGATCTCATTGTTCGTAACGAAATAAAAACTAATACCTTAATGGAAGCACACACAACTTCAATCATTATTATAAGAAGCACTTCGTATTTTAAATAGACGCCCTGTTTTTATTATTTATTAAACAATGATCATTATGTCTATTGGTATGCGAATCCAAGAAAGGAAAACATGTTTACCAGGAATTTACGGCCACGATGAACGTCACAGTTAAGCAAAACTCTATTTTCCTTTTTTCAAGAGAGCACAACCTGTTAATCGAAATTATTTGTTTTGAAAATCATATCCTCTCAGTTTCAGATTCAAAACGTAAACTAAGCAATTTCTAAAGAATTAATGGTTGTATTTGTAATCTGTTTTTTTATTACTTCAAACGTTGTTATAGTAGATTGCATCAGTCCCTAGAAAATAATGTGTTGTGTTTCAATACTAATCATGTAAGTATTTATTGATATGCTATTCTGCCTTTTACACAAGAAAACAGGAATTTCTCTTCATGTCACATGGATTAGACTAATGGTCAGCAGGTAAACAGTTTCATTAAGTTTCTTTGATCCACTTGGTCACATTTATTTCTTATTTCAATTCATCTGATGTCGTTTTCCATCTACTCATAAGCAAGATGGAACATTCCAAATTGATTGTTATCATACATTCATTGTTTTATAGGGGTCATTCTACTAACCAAGTCGTGATAGCCATTCAACTCAGACGGGTCTCCAGTTGAGGCTGTTCCCAATTACCAACCAAACCATCTATATACCCGTTCATAATGTCCCCCCCTTCCTCGGCTACTGCCTTTCATGAATAGAGATGCAAATTGTATCAGCGCTTCGGGGACATGCCCAACTGGTTATAGTCAGACAAATGTCAAGCAAATCAGTGCCAATGAACGCGATATTTATTGTAGTTCATCTTATGTCACCAAGAAAAAGACATGAATATGCTGACACCTCCAATCAATTAAGTTCAGAAACC